GGGGGCTTCTTTGTGCTTTCCCTTTTGCCTCCCTGCATTGTGCCTACATATGCAAATTAACTGCCATTAACTGCCAATCTTAGTTGGCAGTTAACTGCCAATCTTAGTTGGCAGTTAACTTTCTATCTCACTTGGCAGTTAACTGCCAATCTTAGTTGGCAGTTAATTTGCATGTAGCCCTGATTAGCCAATGAAAAGGGTAGTGTCGTACGCCAATTACCATTTTTCTCTTTTATTAGTGTAGATTGGTTGGAGTGACAATGGTTAAAAATAACATATAGATTTCATGTGTGGATTTCTGTTACAAAATCTGTATATTGCACCATGTGTCCACCACCAAAAGTCAAATCTTCTCCTGTCACCTCATGTTAGGACCCCTTTCTCTCCCTACCCCCTTGCCTCTGGCAATCACTACATTGCAGTTTGTGTTCATAAGTTTCAGTTTTATAACCCACATATGAGTGAAATCAGGTGGTTTTTAGCTTTTTTTCTGACTTATTTCATTTGGCATAATGTTCTCAAGGTCCATCCATGTTGTCGCAAATGGCACTATTTCATTCTTTCTTATGGCTGAGTAGTATTCCATTGTGTATATGTACCATATCTTCTTTATCCAATCCTCTGTCATAGGACATTTTGGTTGTTTCCATGTCTTTGCCACTGTGAATAAGGCTGCAATGCACATAGGGGTGCATATATCTTTGCAAATAAATGATTTTGAGTTTTTTGGGGTATATACCCAGGAGTGGGGTTGCTAGGTCATATGGTAGCTCTGTTCTTACATTTTTGGTGAATTGCCAGACTTTCCATAGCAGTTGTAGCAGTCTACATTCCCACCTGCAGTGAATGAGGGCTCCCTTTTCCCCACAACCTCTCCAATACTTGTTATTGCTTCTCTTATTGGTAATAGCCATTCTAACATGTGTAAGGTGGTATCTCATTGTAGTTTTGATTTGCATTTCCCTAATTGCCAGTAAGGTTGAACATCTTTTCATGTATCTATTGGCTCTTTGTATGTCTTCTCAGGAGTAGTGTATTTTCAAGTCCTCCACCCACTTTTTAATTGGATTGTTTGTTTGGTGTTGAGTTTTATGAGTTCTTTATATATTTTGGAAATTAAAGCTTTGTCAGAGTTACTGTTTGCAAATATCATCTTCCATATGGTTGGCTGCCTGTTTGTTTTGTTGTCCATTTCTTTTGCTGTGCAGAAACTCTGATATAGTTCCGTTTATTTATTTTTGCCTTTACCTCCCTGGCCTTTGGGGTCAATTCCATAAAATGTTCTCTACAACCTAGATCCATAAGTTTGGTACCTATATTTTCTTCTATGTACAAGTAATTTATAGTTTTGGGTCTTATGTTTAGGTCTTTGATCCATTTTGAATTAATTTTTGTACTGAGGACAAACTATAAACAGTTTCATTCGTTTGTATGTGGCTTTCCAGTTTTCCAGCACCACTTATTGAAGAGACTATCTTTACTCCAATGTGCATTTCTGGCTCCTTTGTCAAAAATTATCTGTCCATATATGTGTGGTTTTATAGCTGGGCCCTCTATTCTGTTCCATTGATCTGTGTGTCTGTTTCTATGCCAATACCATGCTGTTTTGATTATCATAGCTCTGTTGCATAATTTAAGTCAGGTAGCATGATTAAGCTCTGGTTTTTGTCTCCCTTTTGGCTCTGGCTCCCAGATTCCAGCTAGTGCCTGAGCTATTTGGGCTGAGCCTCTGCTCCTTTAGTCCACAGCCCATCCCTCATTGCTAGGAAACCACCAAGGAATTCACTTGGTTTCCTGAAGACTGATACTGGAGTGAGCCCCATACAAGGGCAAGCCCAGTCCATGGCCACCAAGCCCTCAGGCCCAATGAGAGAGTATTTAACTTATTTATTTCTAATTAATTTTTATTTTCTTTCGTTTCTTCTATTTTAGTTTTAAATTGCTCTTTTTTGTAATCTTCTATTTCTAATTTTCTAAAGAATATATTTCTCATTAATCACTGCTTCTTCTGCATCACCAAATTTTTATAAAATGTATGTTCATTTTAATTTAGTTCAAATAATTTAAAAATTTTCTTGAGATTTTTCTTTTGCTCATGTTACTTAGAAGTATATTTTTCAATCTCTAAGTATTTATGAAGTTCAGTTATAGATCTCTGTTATTCATTTCTAGTTTAATTCCCTGGTTGTCTGAGGACATACTCTTCATGATTTCTATTCTTTTACATGTGTTAAGGTGTATTTTATGACCCAGAAATTGTTCTTATATGGTGAAGGTGAGTTTCCCTATCATCTTAAGTCTGTGTACTCAGCATTGTTGGTTGAAGTACTCTATAAATGTCAAATAGATCAGGTTGGTTGATAATGATGCTCACATCAACTCTATTTTTATTGATTCTTGCCTGCTGGAAGTATAAATTACTAAAAGAGGGTGTTGAAGTATCAAACTTTAACAGTGCATTTGTTTGTTTTTACTTGTAATTCTACCAGTTTTTACTGTATATAATTTGATGTCAAGTGTTCAGGTAAATGCATGTTAAGGATTAAGTCTTCTTGGAAAACAGAACCCTGGCTTCATATGAAACCCCCTCTTTCTCCTTCATAATTTTTCTGTTCTGAGCCATCTATGTTTGGAAATAATATGGCTACTGCATCAATCTCTTGATTAGTGTTAGCATGATATCTCTCCATTATTAATATGAGGCTTTCTATTTAAAGGTTTATTGTGTTGACAAGATATAATTTTTAAATATTTTCCGTCACTTTGATAATCACTGGGTTTTAATTGGAATATTAAGACCATTCATATTGAATGTAAGTATTAATATGTTGAATTAATATCTATCATGTTTGCAACTGTTCTCTATTCATTGTATTTGTTCTTTGATTTTTCCTCACCCCTCTTTTTCTGCCATCTCTGGTTTTAATTTAAAATACTGCATGATTTCATCTTATCTCTTCTATTAACATATCATGTTTTCTTCCTTTTAAATGTATTTAGTGTTTGCATGGATATTGCAATGCACATTTTAACCCACTTCCCTGCAGCATAGGTACCTTCTAGCAAAGTATTCCCAATTCCTTCCTCCATTCCTGCATCTTGATGACCATTTTTTCATGGTGTCCTTTCTCCCTAGGATGTCTGTAGAAAACAAGCATATCTATGACATTGCTCTCCGCCACTTCAAAACACAGAAAGTCAAAATTTCAAATATAATAAAAGTAGCATTTCCTTTCCTTGAACTTCTCCGTGACTATGGATTCATCAGCAATGAAATATATGAAGTAAGTAAGGTTTATTATGTCACAATCTAGTAAACCAGTGCCAAACTAAGTTATATTTTGATATTCTGGAATCAAACATCAGAGCATAACTAGATAACTGAATGGGGACCCTCTCAAGTACTGCTGTGAGTGTTCTTATAAGGTCAGAAGGGAGAAGAAAAGCAGGCATTAGTGAAGACAGTTCTGCTCCTAACAGAAGGAACAGTGCTCCGTGGTGTCCCCTGTAGTGGGGTGAATAGCACTAGAGATAGGCTGGCTGTGAAGAGGGTGAGCTACATAGATTTATAATGCCTTGTAGGAATTATATACACAATATAGCATAAACTAGTATTAAATGTAATTGTAATGAATGGATAAGTTGAATGATTTCATTTAATTAAATAATAGTAATAGTAATTGTTCAATGAACACCAATTTAAATACTTAGATCTGAAAACATTAAAATCCACAGAGAATTAATGTCTTCTTAGGAAAATTTTGAAAATAGATGCTTGCTATTCTTTTAACAACAGTTTTCAGTTCACAGGTACTTCTAGGCCAAGTCAGTCCTGGGGAAGGGATAAGGGGTGTCCAATCAACTTTAATACATTAACACTAAAATCACTTTCTAGGGCTCTTCTGTAACTTGGAAATCTGTATTTATATTTTCCCAATTCATTATTTTTAAGAAGTCTAAGGAATCTTTTAAAACACCGGGTTCGGAACAGAAAGTCACAATTGATGTTCTCAATGAAGTGGAGAAGACATTTAACCTGTCCCTTCTGGAAGCATTGTTCAGCAAGGACGTCATGGACACCTACCCTGGTTTAAATGATATTTATAAAACCTTCAAAAAAGGTAATTAGGGCCCTGGCCAGTTTTGCTCAGTAGAGAGTTGACCTATGGACTGAAGTATCAAAGGTTCAATTCCTAGTCAGGGGCACATACATGAATTGCAGGTTCAATCCTAGGTCCCAGTCAACAGGCATGGGGGAAGAAACCAGTGATGTCTCTCCTCCTCCTCCCTCTCCTCTTCCTCCTCTTCCTCCTCTTCCTCCTCCTCCCTCCTTCCCACTTTCTCTCTAAAGAAGGTAATTAGGTTTATTACCTATTTTTTGATGTCCAGGACCAATTTTTCCCCAGAGGTATATATTGGATGTCTACCATGTGCCACAGAAAGTGCTAGGCAGTGGGGAGATAGCAGTAAAGAAAACAAACATATCGTAGCCACTCAAAGCTTATGATAAAACGACTACAGTACAAACACTCACATGTAGGTCTGCTTAACTAGGTATCTTGACTCAGGACAACCAGAGCCACAGTAGATTCAGATTTACTGAGATGGACAAATGACAGTAAATGCAACATCTCAAAAGTGTGGCATCAGTTGCTCTTCTTCATTGTGACACTTAGCAGGGGTCCTCATAGCAGTTCACCAAGTTGACTACAACCTACCTGAAGTGACAGCATAGCTATAGGTGCATGATCTGCCCTGATTTAGCCACACCATGCACAGGGGAGTCATTATGTCATGTACAACTTTGTAATTATATCTTTGGCCACATGCAATTTACCTACCTTCAGTCACTGGTCATTTGTAACTCTAAGCTCAATGTTGGCCTACTAATTCAGAAGAAAGTCCACCTTTATCAGATTTCCAGAGTAATGAACAAGAAAATTAACTCAAGGTCAAATTTGTTCTTGAAGAAAGAGAAATGGTTTTTTTAACTCATTCTCCAAAACACGTGTGATCAATAATCAATCACAAAACCGATTGCTCTGCCAGAAATGTTTTGATACTATATAAAACTATTAGTTTAAATCTCTACTTTTTCCCTGAGAAGGAATAATTTTATACTTTTTCATTGGTTCTCAGAAAAGATGATGTCCTCCAATAATTTTTGTTTGACTTGCCTAGAAAACTTTTTATTCTACATGCTTTTGGTCTCTAAAAGATCTCCAGGTAATGATGGAGAATTCAAAAGAAAAATTATTATAATAACTGAGGAATGCAGATGATATGGGAGCAAGCTTACAGCATTAAAGGGTCCATGTGTCTGCAGAACAAGGACAAATTAGATTAATTTCAGAGTGAGAAGCAGACTTGCAAGTTGATTCAAAAGGGATAAGAATAAAAAAGAGTTTGGAAAGTCTGGCTCTTAAAACTAAGGAATTTGATGTTATTTGTTACACGGTAGACAGACAGTACAGGTTTATTGCATGAGGAGGTATCCTGCCATAAGCCCTTAGGCGTATGGGCTTACTGCTTCCCTCAGTTTCCTCCCTAGACTCTGTAGGATATACACCAAGAATTTTTGGTGTATTACCTTCCTCCATATGTTTGCTGGGTTGCCTACATATAGAGTCTTCAGCATTTCGAAAAACCCTAACTTAACTCTGGTGCCGTGTCACATATAGAAATTTTTTGATATTTGCAACCATAGTAAAACAAAGACTTATATTTTTGATATTTATTTTATATATTTAAATGCCATTTAACAAAGAAATGAGTTCGCGTGTCACCTCTGACACACGTGTCATAGGTTCGCCATCACTGCTCTATAGGAGCTTTGTTTTTCTCCCAAGGAAATCCCTCTGGTTTTCCTTACAGTTTGAACAGTTCAGCAAATGCATTTCAAAATAAATAGCATATTATTTATTTTGATATATTTGTTCCTGATCAGCTGAATATTTTTTACATAAATAACAAGCTCACTATGTTGCCAAAACTTCCTTTTCCTAACATTTCAGTGGCAACTTTCTGTGTGGGAAGCATAAGGGCCCCTTTGTTGGGTATTCTCTGTTCTATCCCAGGGATGAAGAGTCAACTTTACCAACAGGTTTGGGACCCACTGAGTACTGAGTGACACAAGCGGTGTAAATTCCTAAATGTGTAATTTGAGATGACAGTACTACTCCAAAGTGATCTCTAATTGTCTTCTTCTTATGCCCTCTCTTCAGTAATACCAAACATAGAACAGTTCCTAAAAAGTGATGGAGAAGAAAATGAGGAGAGGCCTGAACAGAGCCTTGAACAAGGTGATTGCAAACAGATAGAAACTGATTCTCCTCTGTTAAGAGGAAAGGAAAAAGGAAGGTGGGCCTGAGTCCTGAGTGGAGTTTGGGAATCAGGGAAGACCTGTTGAGGAGCATGGAGAAGTTCAGGAAGGGCTTTTTCTATGAGCATCTGACCAGAGTCTGATCTTGGGGGATGAGCTATGACAAGAGATCATAGGCCCAATAATCAAGACAGAGGAACAGGAACTCAGTGTATCAGAAAACCAGATTTAAAGACAATACTGACCTGAAAGTAACTCTTATTTACAGAGAGGCCTATAGAAGATCAGTGTGGAGCTGTGAAGGGCTAAGAACTATGGGCCCAAGGTTAACCTCACTAGAAGATATCCTAGATGATGACAATGGGGTTGATTTAAATGTGGTAGATGCTGCTCAAGAGCAGGAATATTCAAGGATATGGGCAGTCATATAGGGAGGGAAGAGAGGAAGTGGTAAGATGCGTAGGAGGAGATGTGGGTATTTTGAGAGAGGAAAAAAGAGAGAAAATGAAAGACCGGAGAAAGGGGTAAAGTACACAACGATGGCAACCATATTACTAAGAGCTTACTTATAAACCATTTACTCTGGCAGTTGAGGGCTTAGTATTCATAGCTGCCCTTAGGGAGGAAGTATTTTCTGTCCATTTACAAAAAGGAGACTGAAATCTTGAGGGACCATGTATGTAGTTGGCCTGGAGTCAAATGAGGATGAACTCAGGCTTTCTGAACCCAAAGCCTGTGTTCTTAACCTTGCACACACCCAGATAATCTCATAGAAAAGACAGAAAATTGAGTCAAAAGTAGTGAAATATGTGCAGAGAGAAAGATACAAAAAAAAGAATACCAGGAGCTGGAGAAAGTACAGGAGAATCAGATACTGAACCTCATAAAAAGGCCAAGAAGACAGAGAAACAGACATTCAGAGAGAGGATGTGGTGTGAAGGGATTGGGGACAAGGAGACATGACTTTGTAGGAGGTAAGGGAAGCCCACCAATCAAAGAAAGCTTCAAGGAAGCAACAAGTTCCCCATAGCTATGGGTGACAAGAAAAGCTATTTGCTCATTAATTACCTCAGTGACATGACAAGACTGAAGTCAGGTGGCAGCTGATGGCAAGTGTCGGGTAGATCCTCAGGTCCAGATGGGCTCTGTGTTGATATCTGAGGGGATCTTCAAGTCCTACTTTATAATAATTAATTGGTAATTAAGGGAGAATGTCACAGCCCATACTTTAATTTCTGAAATAAACTTCTAATTTTTTCCAAGAACTGGTGACAGCTCATATCAAAGTCTGGCAGTGGCAGAACCCAGTGAATCAAATAATAGTGGTCTGTTCCTGTTGACTGTTCTGTGATCCCTTGCTGTTCTTGTCCAATATCGCAGGTGCTGTGGTGGGAGTGCTGCTTCATTTTAGTACTAATTGCCCAGAACAATCAGTCTTTGTTTCCTCAATTTCTCCAATGATTTAGATAAGAGTCTTCATTTTTCTGGTTGCCTGGGAGAGACTCTCCTTCCATACTCCTTAAGTGCACTTGCTGCCAGCTCCTACCAGCCCAGGCCTGGACCTATTGCCCATGTACCTGGCTTCAATTTTCTGACTCTGTCTTGCTTGAATCTGGCTGCAACCTTGCTTTGACATCACGTCCAGTGCTGGCCAGCACTGCAGCAAAGGCGGTGGGTTAAGGGTCATGAGTGTGTTCCCCCTGGGCTAGGGTCTCTCACCTGTTGGGTCCCTCACACAGGACCATCAACAAACCTCTCCCATCTTCTCTGGGGCACAGGCCTGCAGCTACTCTAAAATCACTATGGGAGGCGTTATTGTGTAGCTTCCACTGGGATGTGCTATTTAATAAAAGATGTTCTAGCTCTAGCCAGTTTGGCTCAGTGGATAAAGTGTCAGCCTGCAGACCAAAGGGTCCAGGATTTGATTCCGGTCAAAGGTGAGTACCTTGGTTACAGGCTCCTCCCTGGCCTGGTCCCTGGTCAGGGCTCGTGAAGGAGGCAACCAATTGATCTCTTTCTCTCACATCAGTATTTCTCTCTGTCTTACCCTCTACCTCCCACGTTCCCTAAAAATCAATGGAAAAATATCCTTGGGTGAGGATTAACAAAAACAGAAAAAAAAATTTAACATTTAAGAATATGAAACATATAACAAGCATCAGTCCCTATTCTTAGCCATTCATCTATAAGTGTAGCTGGTGTGATCAGGAATGTTGAGAGGAAGGAATCATGATGAGCAATTTGCAGAGGTGGGATTCAGAGTGTGTGTGTGCGTGTGTGTGTGTGTGTGTGTGTGTGTGTGTGTGTGTGTGTGAAGGGTATAGTGTGTGGGGAGAGGGGGTAATGACATTATAAACAAAATTATGCAATAAACTAACAATAAATGTATCTAAGAGTCTGACCCAGCAGGGATGGTTGACTGTGACATGAACCAGTGACGGAAGGGCTATGTCACATTCACCACCCTAAAGGAGACTCCAAGGAAAAAAAATTAATTCCAAAAATTTTAATATAGAATCAAGGCTGCATGGATGTGGCACAAAACATGCAGCCTTGATTCTATATTAAAATTTTTGGAATTAATTTTTAAATCCTCTTTACATAAGTTACTTTGCATAGAAAAATAGTGATAAATGAAAAAATCTGAACTGCACTGAAAGAAGTATTTATTCACACACTATTGAGGTTGGTGGAAACAGAGTGGATGGGTAGATGGAATCAATAATGAGCAGAGGAGGTTCACCATAGGGAAGGGGGTGCATTTCCTACCATTCTTGCTCTGCTATGCCCTCTATCTCTGGCCACAGACCCCTGCAGCATTGCTTGCCAGCTCCCTTGCTACTGCTTCCTGGTGGATTCCTAACCTGGGAAACACCAGCAAAGAGTGGAGAGTGGGAGCAAGGGAGAAGCATGGTATTTCCCCATCAGCAGAACTTTGAAAATGACGGGAATGCTTAAGATGGAGAAAAGTTAAAGAAAAAATTGATTAGAAGAGACATTCACAGGTTACAGAAATTATAAATAAACAGAATAGAATAGGACAAAGTAGGAAACATAACAGATAATCAATAAACTGGAAAATCAGATGGGGTACTAAGGGCCACAACCAGAGGGAGATAGGGAGACCCTGGGACACATGTAAAGAGGAGCTCACTCCCATGTCCTACACACCTACAGTGCTTCACCCTAGACCAGCCATGGGCAAACTATGGCCCGTGGGCCGGATCCAGCTCGTTTGAAATGAATAAAACTATTGAAAAAAAAAGACCGTACCCTTTTATGTAATGATGTTTACTTTGAATTTATAATAGTTCACACAAACACTCCATCCATGCTTTTGTTCCGGCCCTCCGGTCCAGTTTAAGAACCCATTGTGACACTCGAGTCAAAAAGTTTGCCCACCACTGCCTTAGACCCTGCTGGGTAAGCAATGATAAAATAATGTAGAAAATAAGTATAAAGAGAGAAAAATAAAGAGGGAAATGGATATCATAAATAGAAAATATGGGGAGACACAAAGAGAACTATGTCAAGAATGAGTAAGAGACAATGAATGAAGAACTGGTAGAGAGTGGCATTGTCTGGTTTGAGAAGACACCACAAAGAAGGCAAAAGGGGTGATCCTAACCCCACTGAGAAGGTAAGATGTCCACAAAATAAAAATGGCCCTGAAATTCACTCAGATAAAAATGGGCCTCTCCTATGAGAAATAGAAACAAAAACAAAAACCCACAGTTAAGAGAGGCCCCCAAAAAGACAGAGTTGAGCAGCAGAAAAGGACAGGGGTGGAAGAGCTTTCCTCTGCAGTGGACTTACAGAAGAAAAGAGCTTGTTGGTTGTAGTGAGGATGCTCATTCTATTACGAGAGACAAGTGGATTCTTAATTTATTACAAAATTGGAGCTACCCCATCATGGAAACCAAATTCATTTCTGCTCTGAACACCTGGTGGATATAAAGAATTAAAAGCCATTTTTTAATTCATGAGTTGAATCTGAAGCCCAAGAAAGAAGTGTCTGTGACCAGACATCTGACAGTATAGGTAAGGCTGACTGAAAGAATGTGTGATGTGCCAAAACCGGTTCGGCTCAGTGGATAGAGCGTTGGCCTGCGGACTGAAGGGTCCCAGGTTCGATTCCGGTCAAGGGCATGTGCTTGGGTTGCGGGAACATCCCCGGTGGGGGATGTGCAGGAGGCGGCTGATCGATGTTTCTCTCATCATCGATGTTTCTAATTCTCTATCTCTCTCTCTTCCTCTCTGTAAAAAATCAATAAAAAATATATTAAAAAAAAATGTGTGATGTGAATCCCGGTCCCAGGCAAGGGTCTGGGACAAGTCATCAGGACCAAGGGATACAGTTCTGGTGGCCTTGTTTAGAGGTAAAAAGGGGAGGTAACCAGTGCCTTACGTAGTGTGCTCAGCAGAAAAATGTCCCCAGTAATTGAAAAAAAAAACAAAAGCAAAAATGGTTGGTTTAATGTTAGAGAGACTATTTCTATGCAAGAGAAGAAAGTGATGGTTGTAGAAGAAAAGAAAGAAAAATAAAGAGTCAAGATATTCATTAGAAGAGAGAAAAATAAGGCAGAACAGGAGAGATATAAAGACATACCATCACCAGACATAACTAGTGAAAATTATTTCACCCAATAGGAAAGTGAAGAAGTAAAATGAGAATGAAAGAAGAAGTAGAATGAGGGTGGGGATCAGAAATAGACTGAGGATGGAGAGAGGGAATAGAGTGAGGGTGGGGGTAAAAAGTGTGCTGCAGGATAGACAAAGCTGCACTCTGCAAATGAACTTCTCCACCTTCTGGGTAGGATCTAGAGGAACCTGCAGGTCACACACATTCGGGCACAGACCAGGGGACCTGAGTTAACTTAGCTTCTAGATCTCCCTAGTGCTGTCATGAAGGGGTTTCCTGTCAGTGGGCTCCCTGGCCCCACCTTGAGACACTAATGGGTTTTTCTCCTCTATGCAGAGATCAACAGTGAGGACTCCAGAGAATCCAGTGATGGAGATGAGCCCCCCGAAGCTTTGTAGACAAAAGGGGTCACATGCTAACCTGACAAGCTCAGGGAAGGCCTGCATGGCAGTCTTGAAAACTCAGAGACCTAAAGGAACCACAAAGGATGGTCTGAAATTAAACTTTAACTAAAAGCAGTTATGGTGGGTAGTTACATCCTAGGCCGGTATCTTCACTGACAAGGTCTGTGAGCCTTAACTGAGCTATCTGTCTTTTTACATCTATAATAACATACCCTTTTAAATGTCTGGGTAACTTGTAACTTCCCTTGGGGCACAACCTAATGTGCTGGGCACCAGGACAGATATCACAAATTCCTTCATTATCATGTTAATTGTTCCTGCCTAAGTATGTGTCCATCATTTTACTTTTTATTCAATCCCAGGGGTCTCCCCCACTTTGCTTTCTCCCACCCCTTTAGTCTATCACCAGTGGATTTCATGTAACCCACCTCTGTCCCTTTCCTTTGATTGCAATGTATAAATACAAATGTAACCCACCAATCTCTGGAGCATTATCTCAATTTGTTGAGGTTCTGCTTCCCGGCATAAGCTGACAGTTTGGCTCAAATAAACTCACAAAAATTCTTCACAGGTTTCAATGGTTTTTATGTTAACAGCTTCCACCTCAGCATTGAAAAGGAAAATTGGTAAGGAGGTGAAAGCTCAAGGCTTGGTCTGCGGAAACCTGAGTTAAGAGCTACTGTTTCCTGAGGAATCAATTCTGAGTTTATTCTGTATCATGGACCCAAGAAGCCCTCTGCATACAATGCTAACAAGATATTAATATTAAGATTGTAGTCCTGAATGACAAGTATCCAGCACCAAAATTTAGAGCTTCATTTTCCTCATGAATCTTTTCTGAGCATCTTCCATGTCTTCATTCTATTACTTCTAGGATACTGTTTACCTAAAAATAAAATGCTTTACAAAGTGAGAGGCAACAAGCACCTATTTGAGGTCAGAGGATTCAGGAAAGCACTTATTCAGGCAGAAGTGTAAATAGTGTTCCGATGAGGAGACAAACTTCAGGGATATTTAAGAGAAAGGGAAGGGGAATATTTACATCAATAGAAGGAAGGCATTTCTATTGGTGAAGATGAGCTAATATAGTGATGCTAATTCTAAGCAATGTTTTAATTTTTAGTCTGGTAGTCATCAGTCCCAAAGTCATGTCTGCTTTCTTGTTAAAATTGAAAACAATTCTTTCGGACATAATGTGACTGTGGGTCCAGTCCCAAGAGTATTTTGCCCTGTTTTAACAATGTCAATGTTTGAGGCATAAGACATGCAATGCAGTTCTTCTGGGATGACAGCTCCAACTGCATTTTATTTTATTTTCAAATTACCAAAAATTGTGTTTATTTGGGAACAGCAGAGAAACTGCTATTTGGGGTAGGCAGATTGTAACAAGCTAAAGGCTAGTCCACTGAGGTTTGGGGGTAGGCATTATTTATGGGCAGGAAGTACAAAGAGGGGGGTAGAAAGTTCAGCTAGAATCCAAGCAGCAAGATCATTGGCTGCAGAATGGGGAGAAATTCTTGGTCGATTTTTATCAGTTGAGTGGTAAGTTTTGGTTTTCTGTCAATAGGCATTTACCAGAAATCAGTCTTTTAATCTGTAAGTTTCGTTTTACTGAGGATGCATGCATGAGATTCTTTAAATTGATATACTCTTTCTTAGGTTCCATTTTAGGTTGAAACACTTTTATTTCTTTATTTTTAAAAAAATTAAATCTTTATTGTTCAGATTATTACAGTTGTTCCTCTTTTTTCCCCCCATAGCTCCCCTCCACCTGGTTTCCAACCCACCCTCTGCCCTTACCACCCTCCCCACTGCCCTCATCTATACCTGTACGATTTTTGTTCAGTCTCTTCCCGCACCTCCCACACCCCTTTCCCCCCCAAGAATAGTGAGTCCATTCCCTTTCTATGTCCCTGATTCTATTATAATCAACAGTTCATTCTGTTCATCAGATTATTCATTCACTTGATTCTTAGATTCACTTGTTGATAGATGCATATTTGTTGTTCATAATTTGTATCTTTACCTTTTTCTTCTTCTTCCTCTTCTTAAAGGATACCTTTCAGCATTTCATATAATACTGGTTTGGTGGTGATGAATTCCTTTAGCTTTTCCTTATCTGTGAAGCTCTTTATCTGACCTTCAATTCTGAATGATAGCTTTGCTGGTTAAGTAATCTTGGTTGTAGGTTCTTGGCATTCATCACTTTGAATATCTCTTGCCACTCCCTTCTGGCCTGCAGAGTTTCTGTTGAGAAATCATC